AATTGTTCAATCTAATCGTTTCAAAATTTACTGGGACTGTTAGAAAGGTTTGTTCCCTCATCTCTTTGTTCATAACCATCGTATCGGAGAATTTATCTCGAGTACTTCTCAAGTTGAACATCGCCACTGAATCATTATGGACTTGAGAAGATTACATTTTCTTTGTGGATAAACACTTATGGAACCGGGTAAAAACTTAGTTTAATCAAGTTGTCCACATTGTTCCTTCTATACCTGCTCGAAGAAATGCCCATTCACAGATAAAGTTTGCAGTTCAACGCCCTATCATGTAGGGTGAGCAATGGGATGGCATGGCGGCATGGATTACGATGAAACATCGTGTTCTCGATCATTGCAGTGGTCTCATAGGCTAATCACGAACTTAGAAATTGTTCCAGCACCACTAATCCCTGATGAAGAATTTTCAGTACTTAAGCATCCGTTCTAACTAATATTTGATTAGCTGCATTCCGATCTGTTTGAGCATTCAATGCTGAACTATGGTTAATTGCTAAAGTCTGAGGTGTATCTCTGGTCAAAACAGCATCGCCTACTTTCGTGAATGGTACAGCCGACCAAGTTGAGTACATGCAGAAGCCGCTGCTAACACTAACTAACTTACATTCGTTGCTATGTAAGTTGGGAAGCTTACGAGCGAACGCTTATGACCCGCACATATCGGTTCACTGAAAATATGCGTTGAGAAGCTTTGTAGGCACCGCATGTAACTGTCTGTTGAAAGGACCATCCTATGGTTTAAAATAGTTGTTCACGGTCATTGGATTATCGTGACGGCTGAAAGTTCGTCTTCGTCTTTGCTGTAACATAAGAAACGATACTAATTGTCTTACTATGCGACTTTCTAGAAGGTGGTATATTTGTAGCCCTAACCAACAGGTGCGGCAAAAATTGTAGACGTTGCGATGTATAACGCTCTGTCATGTCGCCCCTTCCCATTTTACCACCAACGGCTAGCACAAAGAATGTATGTTCACTAAGTCGTTGTTGTGCATATGCATACTTTGATACTCAAGTCTTTCATCAGGCTCAAGTTTTAAGATTATTCTCCTTGCCAAGGTGAAATTAAATTTTCGTATTTTTCCGGTCAGCAAGACCGTCAGACCATTTTCTTCCTGTAGACTGATCATCAACGCACTCTACAGCATGCTTGTCGTGGCAACGAGCCTTCATCAAAATTTCTTCTTTGTTTCTTGAGATTTTGAGAGGCGTCTTCTTGCTAGCATGTTTGTATTCATTGTCTATCAGATTTCAATGCACCTCTCACACTCTAAACCTTATCCATGCACAGGCCGAAATTCCAGCTAAAAGCAAAATCAATCTACGTTAGAAGAACCCCTCTGCAAAACGTCATTCCAGGATTTGCATAGAATGTCGGCGAGACGATTGTTTTGCAGTGCAATCGCTGTAGAATTACCTACCGAAACAGATGACAAGTAAACGACGTTGAAGAGATCAAATTTTAAAGCTCATTCATGAAAACGTTGAATGGCGCTTGCTACGGCGTACAACCGATGGCTAGAGATGCATCATAAACAGTATTGGCCAGAACTTTATTTTATTAAATATTGTCATCTGTATAAGTTGTGGTTTGTGCAGATTTCGCCTATTCCATTGTCCTCGACGGGTAAGTTTGAGAGGCTAATCTGTAAGAACGAACGGACGCTATAATTGGCGACGGATGTAGTGAAGAACTTTTAAACAATTAAAGTTTAAAACCTGGAATGGCAGCTATGCCATGTTTAAACCAAATACAGTGCCAATCTTTATGAACTTGGGGATTCGTTATGCCGCATTATAGAACAGTTGCTAAAAAATGCTTCTTTCAATCTATGTTGGTAGTTTCTTGAAGAAATCTTGTCGGTGACGACAGGTAAAACGCAGAGACAAACTGGACCCTTGCCTCAGCGCTCCAAACTTTGCATTTCATCGAGTCATCGAAAATCACGTACTCGTTTGCTTTGCAGTTGTCTCTCTGGGTGCAGTTCAGCAGTCCTTGTTTTGCATAGTTCAAGTAGTCCCTAGATTAATTACGTTATTTGTTCAACTGACGGATTAAATTTCATGTCATTAGCCGTTTACAATAAAGCAGATTCTTTGAAAAAATGGCGTAAAACAAATGATTTATTTACTTAAGTAGTCCTTTTGTTGCCAAGTGAGAAAAGAGCCTGTATACCGTCTTTCATTTATTTCCTTGAATCCTTACGAGTAGGTATTTTTCGTTTTGTGACGTTCTATTTCACGTTCAGTTTTACCCATTTTGAGCACTAAGTAAGGTTTGCCAAAGTTTGCTCAAATATTAGCCTGGGAGCTATTCATAAACTGCAGACACAAAGCAACGCATTCTGGAAAGATGTTTATTGGGAATAAGAAAAGAGATGCGAAGGCAAATGAATCGATACGAGCACAAACAACGGTCTGCGGTTTATTAGGACGAAAAACACAATCTCTATCATTGTTTTCAAAATCCCTGAGTCAGTTGGTAAACGATTGCCTGCCCTATGAAAAGAAATTCTACTTTGCGAAGAACTGTAGCATGCATTTAACATTTTGATTAACATGCCATGTCAATTTGTGTTAAACAAAGAGTAATTTATTGAATTTTCATTTGGTGGCTTTAGGAAAAACTGAAAGTGATGGAAATAATTGTGAAGTTGAGTTCTCTTCTCTGCGATAAGTTTTTTTCTGACTGGATGATTCGAAACTTGGAGCGTGCTGAATATCGACTCCATCTGCCAGCGGTTTTAACCGGTTATTGATTGACACAAAAGATCATTCAAAAATAACAGCACTCATTCTACACCGTGCGAATAGTTGATACTCGTGCGGAGATGCAATTTTTCCTTACCAGACCCCGGTGTTTAAGTGAAATATTACAAGCGAAGTAAGTTACTTTTTATTACGACGCTAGGATTGTCGAAAATCAATGAAATCGTTAAACTTGTCGTTTGCTTTATTGAAATGGCTAATTTCAGGAGGACAAATGTATAAGCTGTCGTGGTGTAAAGCAGAAAATTGCTAGATTTACAATACGGTCGTTGCGTTTCATTTCCGAGGCAGACAGTGCTTGCAAACTATGAACACGCATTTAGCAGCAGCTCTGTCCTGGCTATCATTGACTGCTCTGTATTTTAGTACAATAGCCACCTCGTCCATCAGCGAAACGCTGCCCCTTCCTGTCTGCTCCTACACTATTCACCGTGACAAGCTTGACGGCGAGACCGTCAGGTACGCCAGAGTCGGCGACCAGGTCGTTCATCGGTGGCTTTGCGACACAGGTAGCGACGTTTGTGATGACATATTATTTACTAGCACTCTGTTAAGACGTGTATGGAATGCTCGTGCATTCGTGTTATGTCGAAGATGGACACGGCGTGAACGTATTGGTGGTAGACTCGAAGGGGTAAGTAGCAACATCAGTATGAATTTTACTTTTCCCTGTCCATTTTCCTGCAATTATCAGTATCATCTTTTTGTTATCCCATAGCTGTCACACAGACCGCGTACTGCTTGGAGATCCGACGTATGTCGAAGCGTTGAATATGGCCTATCGGGAGTCGTACGTGTTCAGATTCGCTGATAAAATGGTCGTACGCTTCAAGTGTCAAATTCGTCTCTGTCTGAAGATCGACGGCAGATGTGCAGGCATCACTGTAGTTTCTGTACGACCCAATTTACAGATCTGAAATAATTTTGTGCCTTTAGCCACCACTGTGCTCTGAGGAAAATGAAGCGAACGAAACGCTCGCCGTTGCCAGCCCTAAACGACGTACTCGAGCAACATCGAACGTTCTTGAAGGAGACATCATGTCGCAAGCTCTCTACATACTAGACGCAGATGAAAGAAGTCGTAAGTTTCAATCGAATTATTAACACATGCTTCATGCACAGAGGAGTTGTCCACTTTTAAGTGAGGTAATTGAACATATGTCAGAGTGCGATGTCGCGACGTTGGGTAGGAGGAGCGAAAGACGACGGAAAATGGCCAGGAAAGTTCCTAAAAATAACATACTTTTCCATCTTACCCTTAGACTATCATTTGGCCAGCTTTAACTTTACTTGGAATGCTGTTTTGATGCAGTAGGAAGACTTGCGTATCTCAGGTGCTTCAGGTGACGGAGAACACCATAACCATCAAGGAAATGAAGAACTAGTCAGAAAGGAGTCCCTGCAGCACCCAACGGCACCCAGAAGGCAAAACATTGTTATCT